CCTTGGGAGTTACGAGAACAGGGCACATCTTCTCAAGACGATTCTTTTCAGTAGCCGCAAGCAGATCATGGGATAGGTAATTGCACAAGTACAAAGCATCGAAGCTTGACTCAATTGAAAATTTAACCTGTGCATTTTATTTTGCTTTAGTTCTTGTGCCAATAATCTGTACCTGTTCATAGATCAAAATTAGAGCACGAATACGCAAGATCAACGTGCACATCTGAACTGACGCAGAGTGAGGAAAATTTCTGGAACAACCGGAGGGGGAGTAATGATAACTTACCGATCCCAATCGTAATCGAAACGTTTCAGCTGAATAGCCAGAACCAGCGGCAGTCGATCAATACACATGCGTTTCAGTGTAGTTACTTTGGCGTTGCACGCTTCACACCAGTACGCATTGTCGCCTTCCAATCGATCTCCTTTCACATACTGTTCCAACGATTGGAGTAAATTGGTGTGATTACGTATATCGACACTGAGGATGGTGAAAGACTCATTTCGTGAATAACTGTGTAAATTCAAAAGGGCGAGAGAATAGAAAACACGAGGATTAGGAATCTATGTAATATGAGGATGCTGCTGAGAACAACTGCGAGCATTCCCATTAATACTTACCGATGCGGACAGTCAATACACAGTTTCTGGTCCGCAAATGTGCCACCGAGAACCTGCTCAACGGCTTTAGGCATGTTGCATAGATAAAGCGCTTCATCCAAATCGTTGCACACGGTTTGCATGAATTCGACCGCGTCATGTTGTTCTCGGATATTTAGTTGTTCCGATGAGAATCTGAGAGGAAAATGATCACAGACCGATGCTGAAGTATTAGCAATGCAGTTGAATAATAGGGGAATTTAGCTGCCTCGCATTCGAATTGTAGTCATGAGATACCTTGGTAGCCTGATTATGCAGCCAAAAAAGGTCAGTCAGTTTTATTATGGTAAATACTCAAAGCGATTGCTTTTCTATTTCCTTCGGGTTTTTTTCGCACAACTGGACCGATCAAGTCCCCTCGAATTCGGCGATACTGGTTGAAGTGCAACCCTAATGATTCCAGTCTTTTCACGCAGGTTTAGTTAGTGGCTACAGAAAAAAGCACTATCGAATCTTCTACGATCTACGACAGTGAACTGAATAGTGGGCTAGAGGCGAAACCCTTCGGTGCCAAAACGTTTTTTCACCAACGTTGTACGTTTACGGTATGTCGTATTGGCCCTGAAACAGGGGGTTTGTAAAACAGTTTACTACCTACAACAATGGCTGTTCTGTTCCGAATGATACCATGAGCAACGATCCAAGAATAAGCCGCGATTACTATCATGAGGTGACATATCTTGAATAAGTTTCATCTGAGTCTGAATCGGATGACGTCTATGAATATTACTGATAGCCAGTTAATAAAATGAGGCAGTTCTTTTTTGTGCACCTTCATTGCCTCCGAAAAAAAAGCATACGAAAAAACATGCAGAACAAAACATACCGAAATTCTTGCCAAAATTCCACCGGTTTGTAAGACTGCAACAAACTGAGTGTCAGGTGGCCGAAGATCGACTGGGTATGGAAAAGAACTTTAAGATGATGTATTTGATCAGCGGTTAGTTTCTTCTTCTTGGAATCGTCATCCTTTTGGTCCGGGCTAGACTGTGTGGAGAGCGTGGTGCCGTTGGAGGCAACGGAGGAGAACTGGATGAAAATAGAAGAGCGGAAAATACGAAGGATGTACGTAGGTAGATGGTCGATTAAAAACACGCAGGTATGGAGCATGAGGATGAAGAGAGCAACTTAATACATACTTCAGTTGAATCCGAGCCTATGGGGGCACCCGATTCGGAACTGTCAGTAGCCGTCACTTCAGCCACCGTCGTGGTTATTTCTGCGGACTTCGTTTCCTGCTGTAACCGCTGCTCCGGGCGAGATACAAGTACGGCGTTTCGTATTGGAATGAGAGAAAACAGTTGTTGAAGAATGGAATTCATATAACATGTTGCACCTCCATTACGTAGTCCAACGAAGCGGGAAATACCTTTGGATTGGTTGTGAATAGCTGGAGGACTGTACTGCCAGGAATAAGTGGATAGATCGAAATCATCTAAAAGTAAAAAAGGAAGAACAATAAGCTACGGTCAAGTGGTAGGAAGTATCATCAAATCGACTTGGATTTAGTGTGACCAAACCCCGCCACCATCAAATAATGTCCCACAGTTCATAACAGCTTATAAAGGCCACTTAATTAGCCTCATAACGCTATTCGAAAATTACCGTGAACTTGTTCAGTAAGTAAAATGAAGTAAACATTGTTTAAAATTTTTCTTCGATTATCTCTGTGCAGAGAGAGAGAGCTGAGAGCTCGTTGATTCCATACATATCTAAGCATACTAAATGCGATGAAATCTTGCATGTGATGGCCGACGAAAAGCAGGAACAGCCGTCTTTTTTTGCTGGGACTCGTCAGCGGTGAAATTCGAAAGGCAAAACTTTGGGAGTCGAAATTTCTTCTTTTTAGCCACATGGCCGATGTTCAACAAATCCAGCGCACTTCATGAAACATTTCATTCAAAACGCTATCGAGTGGTAGGTAGATCCCTACCCTTCGCCTCAACGTCAGACATTTCCAAATGGGGAACTACGCGGTTGTCCACTTCAAGCTTTAGAAAGTACGTTGGCAATTATCATCAGTAAACATAAGATCCTGGTTAAAATGAGATTGTTCGTTACACCAGAGTGTACCATGAAAAGACTTCCACGGAAAAATTATTGGTCGTTTACTTTCATTTGTACGTGAACTAGGTGGAAAAAAGTCATTATTCATCAAAAAAGTATGTCAGAAAACTTGATCCCCTGGAAGTTGACGTTACGTTTGGTAGGGCGGAAAACTGGGCACTAGGTCAACTGGTATTCATTATTTGGACCGATATAAGGCATTTGTGCAGAAAAGAGGCAAGAGAAAGGAAAGGATCCACGGTCAGATTCTTAAATATTGTGATACACGAGGAGGGTCTAATGTATCATGTTCCATAAAAAATGGATTGTGATTGGGGAGTATTACCGCGCTTAGCTTGAGCGCTGTGGTTATCCTTGAACGTTAGAATCGATGTGATTCATTCCTTTTTACTATCGTAATGATTAAATATTCAGTAAAAAAACTATATACACCATATAAGGCAGATGCGAAATAACTCAGAAAATACGGGGGTTGGGTTTGTGTTCTATAAGGTGATCCCATTACTACTCACCGGGAAAACAAGAGCAGTAAAGTTGGGAGGAAAGCAGAAGTACGGCTGAAGGATCTCGTTTGGCGAGAGCCAAAAGTAGTTCAAAAACACCACTGAGCAGATGGTCGGATAGAGAAGCACCTGCGTCCGCCATAGGTTGAAAATCCGTTTGTTCACGTGCAGGGAACAGAAGAACTTGAATGATATCCTGCAGAGTATAATAATGAAACGAAAAATAATAGTGATATCAATAATTACTACTACTAACAACAAACATATTGGATGTACGCTTTTTGTTCTTATTAAATATATAAAGTAAAACCAAAGTTCAATGAAGCCAACTAGATTCATACAGTGAATTAGGGAAGGAGGAGGAGAGGGGTAGTAAGGAAACTAGAACTATGGGTGGACCATGCCTTGGCTACTCCAGGAATGGTATCTTGTTATCAGACTTATGCTCCTGAGATAGTTTAACATTCTCATCGGTGTCATTTAGTCCCTGGAAAGGGTGGATCGCGTTTAGTCTTGGGTTGGTAATGACACAGATATCATCAAAGTACAGCTGAGAATTGCCAACAGTTCTATGCAGCCTATTCTCTACGCTAGTCATAAAAAATACGAGCCCCGCCACCGCCACCCGACTGTGGTAGGCAACTATGCTGTCGTCCCGTTCACCACCACGCTTAACCTATCGGGGCTTTATGTGGTTCGCCACTCCAAGTTACGGGGCTTAGGTTGCCGATTTCAACCACTGAACAGCAGGTTTTAGTGACTATGGGGTTTACCCCGTCTGCTGTTCATCACACCTAGGTGTGTAATAAAAAAGCGAGGATGGGACATAATGGCAACACCGTGAGATGGACGATAGTACTTCCCTGGAATTAATAATTACCAGACGCTCCGATGGAGCATGTGTAACTAAGATGTACTAGGCTTGGTCAACATTAACGCCTCACCAACTTTCGCCTGCTCAGTTACAAACGAGGACCGAATAGAACTAGATATGATTTGGATAAAAGTTCCACACCACAGATAACAATCAAGGCTACTTGATGAAACCTTTAACGCAAACGGTTACCGATGGGTAAGAATCAACAAATGCAGTCAGGACCTAATATTCAGGAAATGTCTATGTATTCATTGTTCCAGTGGGTGCCATTAGATGATGATGTAAATGAAATCTTCGTACATCGTCCGAAAATGCAGAAGACTGTAACCAAAACTACCGCTGGAATTGTACGGATAATGGTTGTATAAATTTAAAACTGAACTGGTCGATCTAGGAACGATTAGAGGGACTGGATGATAGGGTAAAATGCAGTAAACAGTGTTCGTAAAAACCAATGGATGTCTACGCAGAACTGGATAAACTGCCTTCTGTAATTTTGTCTTTTAACTATTCCAGTTGCTACTTCATTCCCGTTTGGCCGAAGGCGTACAGCAAACAAAAGCGACGCATGAAAGTGAAAACAGCAAGTGAGACTATTTCACGACCCTGGGCAAATTACACTGGCGATTTGTGGTAGTGAAAAGCGGGGTGATCGAATCGCCTTGCACCGTGGAAAGTGTTAGGTGTGCTATTGGTCAGCAGATGAAGAAACAATGGCATTGACTTTAACGTTTAATGATGTTATGATTCTCTCTTATCACGTGGTTCAGTGCATGATGCATCCTCACAATTAATTCGAACATGGTCTTTGTTTTTCTCTCGTTCTGGGCAATCTGGGAACGCAGATTTGCAGTAGATTAGTACGGGCTCTCGTTCTGGATGAATAAATGGACAATCTAAACAATCAGAAATAAACGGTACCTTGGTTAGAGGAGCCAGAC